ATATATATATATATATATATATATATATATATATATATATATATATTATATATATGTATATATGTATATACAAATGAAGTCTACATTCTTTTGGGGTCTGTTGAAATGACAGCAGGTTAGTACAACAACCCCACCGACAGCTGTAAACTAGCGCATCAAGAGCCAGCCCCATCTGCATGCGTGCATGCATGCATGCATGCAGAGAGCATGCATGCATGCAGAGAGCATGCAGAGAGCATGCATGCAGAGAGCATGCATGCATGCAGAGTGTATGCATGCATGCATATGGGGCTGGCAGTGTGAGTGCATGCGCTTTCAATGTTTTTTTTTTCTCTTTTTTTCCCGTTTTTATTTTAAATGTTTACTCTCAGTTTATTATATATATAATAAACAAATGCAGACAAACAAAAGAAAAACAAAAGAAAAACAAAACAAAATAAAAAAGAAAAAATAACAAAGACAGAGACATCTGCTGCTCCCCATCAAGGCATCCTCATACCATCAGGGAAAGAACAAATCAAAAGTATTTAGTTTAATTAAACACTACATTTATATATACAATATAACTTTATATATATATATATATATATATNTATATATATATTATATACTTCCTCCTCCGCCAGCTCACAAAGATACACCCCAACACCTTTCTCTTTTTCTCTTTTTCTCTCTCTCTTTCTCTTTCTCTCTCTTTCTCTGTCTCTCTTTCTACTTCTCTCTTTCTCTTTCTCTCTTTCTCTTTCTCTTTCTCTCTCTCTCTTTCTCTTTCTCTCTTTCTCTCTCTTTTCGTCTGCGTCTATGTGTATCTAAGAAAACAGAAAAAGACATTTCCTTTGAATGTCTGTTTTTTCTCGTTATACACCCCAACAAACACAAACAACGAGTTACATACAGCAGCAGCAGCAGCAGCAGCAGCAGCAGCTGCTGCTGCTGCTGCTGCTGCTGCTGTATGCAACTCAGAGATGACGATACACCCCAGTGCCCGCCCTAAGAAAGTTGAACAAAGTCCTTTCATTCATGAGACAGAGCGGCTGCTGCTGCTTGCTGTTTGTGTGTTGTTTCCTGCTGCTGCTGCTGCTGCTGCTGCTGTTGCTGCTTGCTGCTTGTTGGTTGCTGCAGCAGTTGTGGCTGACTCCTTACGTGTGGTTTCTGCTGCTGCAGCTTTTCTGGTGATGAGATAAAAAATATTTATTTCTTTTTCTTCTCGTCTTCTCCTCGATTCAATACTTCTTTGATTAAAGGCAAGCCGGTGCTTATACCCCAGCTGAAGGGGTTCGCTGCTGCTGCTGCTGCTGCTCCCCTCTGCGGTGTATGTACACCTTCTGGCTCGCCCTCAGCAAATCCCCAGTATCTCGGTTGCTGAGCTGTTGGAGCCATTTGCAGTGGCAAGGAGAACAGTTTGCTGCTGCTGCTGCTGCTGCTGCTGCTGCTGGTGATACTGAAGGGACTTGCTGCTGCTGCTGCTGCTCCCCTCTGCGGTGTCTGTACACCTCCAGGCTCACCCCCAGCAAATCCCCAGTACATCGCTTGCTGAACTGTTGGCGCCATTGGCTGTGGCAAGGAGAACCGTTTGCTGCTGCTGCTGCTGCTGCTGCTGCTGCTGCTGCTGGTGATACTGAAGGGACTTGTTGCTGCTGCTGCTGCTCCCCTCTGCGGTGTCTGTACACCTCCAGGCTCACCCCCAGCAAATCCCCAGTACATCGCTTGCTGAACTGTTGGCGCCATTGGCTGTGGCAAGGAGAACCGTTTGCTGCTGCTGCTGCTGCTGCTGCTGAAGGGACTTGCTGCTGCTGCTGCTGCTCCCCTCTGCGGTGTCTGTACACCTCCAGGCTCACCCCCAG